AAAAAAAAATCTTTCCACCGGAAGTAAAAATTTTCCAACCATGAAAACGCGCGCGCGCTTCTCCAATTGGCCAGCATCGGCTAGCATAGCAACCAGGTCGTCTAGAAAAGGATACGTCAGTACACCCTTAAGAGCTCACAAAGAAGTCAAACCTAATAAGACGGCCCTTAGGACAAATAGTTCATAAATTGTTACAGTGAAAGCCCTCCGTTATTGTGACATACCATATAGAAATTGYGGTACATGTATGTACAAATCTCTTTTATTGATGCAATTTTGTATATGTTGTAGTTCAGGTTCAATATATTTTTGAACCAGTTTAATCTAATTTGTTCCAGTACAAGACTTCTTGTTGAAAAGTTTTCTAGTAGTATGACTTCAATGTCTTATWAAAAAAATGGCTGTTTAATGCTAGATATGTATCATGCCAAGTTCTCAAGGAATATTGCACACTGTGGTCATGTACATAAAAACTTAACTTACATATTCTTTCTTCAGGTTATCAGTTTGGCAAAACTCAAGAAGAATTACAAATCTTATGAATCTAAGCGACAGCTTGCTTCCTTGTATGATGTGTTTRTCTGTGATGATACCATTTACCATTTGCTGCCTAGAGTCTTGGGAAAGGCATTCTTTTCACGAAAAAAGTGAGTGCYTATTCCTTTCCTTTACTCATTTTCCTCTGTGTCATTTTAAAGGAAAGGTTTATTGTTGACAGAAAAATATTATAAAATATCTATTTAGTTTGTGCTTAGTGATGTAATGAATGTGGTGACTGTTGGAGTACTTACTTGTGTTGTCATTCACTGACATCCAATAACATTTCCAGTTATGAGAATAGCAAGGATTGGCTACCTGTTGATTTATGTTTCCACATAAGTTAAGGTGGCATAAGAGCTGGCAACAAATTGAGTACATGTAGTTCTAACTAATTTTTTTCATTTCAAAATGTTATTTGATTTATTTTGGGAATTACATTGAACATTAATCATAGTTGACTGACAATGCTCAGGCTTGTTAACCTGTGGTAATCTGAAAATGTTTAAAATATTGCTGTTTCATTCTGCAGATTTCCAATTCCTGTTGATCTTAAAAAGAAAGATCTCAATGGAGAGATGAATAAAATTTTAAAAAGTACATATATGTCCTTGGGTCAGGGCCCTTGTAGGTAAGGAACTATATCAGTGGTTAGGCCCTTGTAGGTAAGGAACTGTATCAGTGGTTAG